CCCCCCCCCGCACCCCAGCTGGTGACTGTCAGCAGTGGCTGGGGGGAGAGGGAACCTGGACCCCTTTGCCCACAGCCCAGCATGGTGCAGAGCTGGGGCTGCCGTGGTGAGAGAGCCCCCAAACCCGTTCCCCCATGGCTCCCCCAGCCAGGCAGCTCTTACGGCCAGCTGCGGAGGAATGCAGGGGAAAGGGGTCTGGGGTCTGTGTCCCCTTTCCAGCAGCCCAGCCATGTTGCATGCCACTGCCTGGCCAGGGCTGCTGCTGCAGGCACACAGACCCCCTGACCTCTTCCCCTGCCAGCCAGGCAGCAGTGTGCTATGGGGCTGGGGTGGCTGCGGGGAGGGAAACTCCCCTCCCCCTTCCCCACATTCCCCTGCTGGCTGCAGCTCACTGCTGACCTTAAGGAGGAGGCGGAGCTGGGATCACAGGCTGTCACTGACTTGGGTCAGTGACAGCCAAGTGGTCAGGGCTCGCCCAGTACTGGGGCACAGCAAATGAGCTCTGTCTGAAGCTAGAGCAAAGCCCTGCGCAATGCCACCTGGGATAGCAGAGATCACGCTCTAAGTTAACCCACACTGGGGTCTAGTACAGACATCTGACAGAAAGTGCTTTAGTCTAATACCTCATCCATCGAGGATTATCTTAGAGTGTGATCCACCATTTTTAAAGCACTCTAAGAGCCATAAACATTTGTTCAGCTTTGGCTTTAGAGAGCTTTCTGCATGCATAAATCGTGATAGGTATAACATGTACCTAGCCTCTGTCTGGCAGATTCCACACTGAATATATGCTAAGTCTTGTATAAGGTATCTGGAGAATATATTGTTTGGGAAGGCATGCTAGTCCTGTTGGTAGGAGATATGAAGATGCTGTATATGAACCTTCCTGTAACATTCCCAAGGACACTATCTGTCTCTGGCCTGCATGGTCAGAATGCCGTACAGCAGGCCTGCTGAGCTATTAATATGCAGAAGCCCCTTGAAATACTTCTCAGGGTCCCAAGATCAAAATGTATCCATAGGGTACAAATGGCGCAGCTGAACTTGGGTATCTATGCATAGTGCTTCATTGTACCATGTATAAAGCCCTGCATATACTGCAATTCAGATTATGATTCCCTTACCCTTGCAAATAGTATCTTGTTGGGGGAAGGTGTTACTTGGTTTTGTAGGACTGCAAGATTAGGCCTCAATGAACATTTAGTGCCCTTGGGCACTATCCCATATGCAGCATAATATAGGCCACTAAGGAACAGCATAGACAAGACCACTCAGAAAAGCCCACTTCTTTCCTGCTCTACTTTTTCTCTTTTAGTGAGTAGTTATCTGCTAATATGTAACAAAGTTACTTGCCCTCCACTGTTCATCTATATTCTAGTTCAGCTGCTGTAATGAATTCACTGCTGGGGTGGACCCACAATTGCATTTACTTTCCATCCCTCTTAATCTACTCCATGCTCATCAAACCTTGGAGGCAATTGTGGCTAAGCAAGAACATCTATGAAGAAATGTTTTGGTTCCCCTGTATGGATACAAGGGTATCCATACCCTTGTATGGATACATAGGCCAGACCAGGGGATCAGCAACCTGTGGCTTAAAAGCTGGAAGAGATGGGATCCAGTATGTCGTAGCAGGGATCAGCATTGTGTGGCAGCAGGGGCACTTTGTCTACTCTGTCATACATCTCTCTGCCACATGACCCGTTCATTGTTTCTTGTGCAGTCAATGGCTTTCCTCGCTATTCTTGCTCTGTGTCTGAGAGCTGTTTGTTCTCTTGCCATACTACTGCAGCCTGTGTTTACCCTGACCAACAAATTATGGGTCTACCTGCTGCCGTGGGTGACAGAAATTGGTAGCAATTGATGGTGACGGTAAGTGGTAGCTGCAGTTAGATGGCATGAGAGCAGCCCTTGATATAAAACAGGGAGGGATGGGGCAGCTCAGAGGGTGCCAAATCTCAAGCAGCAGCCATATCTCAAGCAGCAGCCCACGGTTATTAAAGGCTGCCAAGCCCTGTGCTAGACCATAGTATGGCATTTCAGAAATGACCAGCTGAACATAAGATTTCTGGAAGCACTCCCCAATACAATCTTAATGGCCCCTGAAAACAAGAGCCATCTCCAGTGTTGCTAATA